GCCAGGAGGTTGGCGGCGGCGGCGGCGGCGGGGTTGGCGCCCGCGGCCACCGCGGCCAGGACGCCCGAGGCGGCGGCCGAGTTGAGGCCTAGGCTGAGCGAGTTGGTGTTGTAGCCGTAGCTGGCCAGCGTGTTAAGCGCCGTGCTGATGGCCAGCAGGTCGGTGCCCGAGAAGGCGGGCAGCGCGGCGGGGAAGGCGCCCACGCCCGCCAGCCCCGCGGGGCCCAGCAGACCCGAGGCGGCGGCGGCGGAGGCGGCGGCCGCGGCGGGCAGCACGTCGGCCGGGCTGGCGTAGGGCGAGCCGGTGGGGTTGGAGTTGGCCACGGGCCCCGCCACGTTGGCGTAGCTGATGTTGAGGCAGCTGCTGCTCTGCGGGTCTTCCTGTACCTTCTGCACGATGGCGCTCACGGCCTTGTGCACCTGCTCGGGCTCGCCGCTCACGGTCACCACGCGCTCCTGCAGGTTGATGCCCTCGGGCTTCTGCGACAGCTGCACCCACGCGCCGGACTGCTCCATCACCGCCTTCACGGTCGCTCCCCCTTTACCGATGATCAGTCCCGCCGTGCTGTTGGGAACGATGAGCTTGGCCTGCGTGGGGAGAGAGACAGCGTCTGCGCGGGGGCAGAAGGAGGTGCGCAGCCGGCTCAAATCGTTCCTGGGTTTTTGTGTTTCTGTTTTGTCTGCCCTCCAGGGTGTGTCCTCTAATAAATGCCACGACAGCCCTACTAGTTCCTAAAGGAGAATTCGGGAGTATCTGTCGGGGTGTAGTGCTGCGTGCCTGTAATCCCAGCACCTTAGCTGGTGGAGGCAGGAGGAGGTCAAGTTCAAGGTCGGCCTGAGCTATATATACATAAGCAAGACCCTGTCTCGCGAGAAAAAAAAATCCAATACACAGTCCCTCGGACACCCTGACCCACGTCCCTGGGACCTCAAATGCCTCCTCTTGTGTGGCAGATTAACGTTTATTAACGGCGTGTCCAGTGAGAGCCCATCTGTGTCTGCTCCAAGCTCACACCATCACTCCCAACTTCTGCCCTGGTTCCTAGTTCCCCGTCCCACTACAAACCTTCAAATCTTACTTTACAAAGTTCTCCCTCCAGAGTTCTCCCTCCGTCTCTCCCTTTCTTCTCCCCTCTGCTGTCCTCTCTCCGCCCAGGCTGTCTGGAACTCATGATCCTCAGCCTCAGCCTCCTGAGGGATTTCCCACTCAGATTCTTACACCAAAATCCACAGCCTGACCAGTATGTTTCTGTTTGGAGACACAGTTTTGTTTTTGTTTTTGTTTTTGGTTTTTTTTTGTTTTTGTTTTTTAAAGGTAAGCAGGGCAAGTGTGGTTTCAAATGCCAGGCTGCTGAAATGAAAGGATCATGAGTTCAAGGCCAGCCTAGGCAACAGAGTAAGTTCTGGGCTAGCCTGGCCTACACTTTGAGACTCATTTTTTTTTTAAGCCCCAAACAAAAAGGAAGTCTGAGGGTCACTCTGTTATAGCTTTATTGCTTTGTGCAGTCCCAGTGTGAACTGTAATGACATTTCTTCCACTGTGGTTCCATCTGAATAGTTATAAGATTCCACCTCATTTACAACAAATTGCCTTCCTTTTCTCTCTCTTCCCTTCTCTCCCTTTTGAGACAGTGTTTCTCTGTGTAGTCTTGGACTCTCTATGTACATCAGGCTGGCCTTGAACTCACAGAGATCTGCCTGCTTCTGTCTCCCTGAGTGCTGGGATTACAGGCATGTGCTACTGAGGCCTTTTATTTCTCTTGCTTTTAGTTTCTTCCTCATTTTTTTTTTTAATTTTGTTTTGAGACAGGGTCTCCTTAGTGTCTTGGTCTGTATTGATCAGGCTGTCTTTGAACTCACAGAGATCTGTCTGCTTCTGCTACTCCAGTGCTGGGCTATCAACTGTGAACTACATCCATCTCTTCTACAATGTGCTTCGCCTAAAGTGTGTGTGTGTGTGTGTGTGTGCAGGTGAGAGGGCACTCCCACCACTACATGCACCTTTCTCTGTGGAGAAGCTTCAGCTCAGGCTGCCAGGCTTCTAAGGCCCGTGCCTTGACCCACCGAGCCCTCTCCCTGGCCTGGTCTCCTATCTTTAAAAAAAAGCTCCATAAAAGCAATCAAATATGAGCAATAAAATCCATGCATGTAATGGGGTAGTATTGGGAAATAAATATACATGAAATACTGACATAGCACATGCTATAACATGGATGCTGCTAGGAAACACACTGAGTGAAAGAAACCAGATGCAAAAGGTCACATGGTTTCATTTTCATGAACATCCAGAACATGCAAACACACAGCGACAGGAGATAGTTTGGAGAGCAGGAGGGATGGCTCAGTGGTTAAGAGCACTTGCCGCTCTTTCAGAGGACTGAAGTTGGGTTCACACATCAGGTGGCTCACAACTACGTATAGCTCCAGCTCCAGGGGTCCTCCCCTCTGGCCCCCACAGGCTCCTGCATTCATGCGCACATATGACACACAGACCTCCACGTAATCAAAAGTAATAAAAATGAATAAAGGGATTTTTATTTTATGTGTCTCAGTGTTTTTCCTGCATGAGCAGGATCCTGCCTTCAGAAGCCAGGACAGGACAGCAGACCCCTGAGAACTGAAGCTACAGACACGTGTTAGATGCCGCTAAGAACTGAACCTAGATCCTCTAGAAGAGGGACGGGTTCTCAGGAGCTGAGCCAACTCTCCAGTCCCAAGACCCTGGGTTCGAATACCTAGCACCTCCGTAAATAACTGTGCATGCTGTAATCTAAGAACTGAAGCAAAGACCGATAGTCACCAAGAGCTTGTTTCCCAGTCATCCCATCCATGGAGCTGTGGTTTAGCTAAGAGACCCTAAAGTCAATGAGGGAGAGAGCAAAGGAGGAAGACACTCCTTTTTCTGCTATGGGCTTAGCAGGCTCCTCACCTCACAGGAAACACACAAAAATAGGTTAGTGAACACTAAAGCTACAAGACAGGGCTTGGGTGACTGCCAACAGGAATAGTAGAAAGATTCTGGAATTCTGGTTGGCCACATACTCTTCTACTTTAAAAAGATGTTAATATATATATATATATATATATATATATATATATATATATATATATATGGGTGTTTTGCTTTCGTGTATATATGTACCATGTGCATGCCCTGGTGCCTGCAGAGGCCAGAGGTATCAAATCCCCTGGGACTGCAGTTACAGATGGTTGTGAACAGCCATGTGGGTGCCAGGAATCAAACCTGGGTCCTCAGGAAGAGCATCCAGTGCTCTTAACTGCTCAGCCATCTCTCCAGCCCTCTAGGTTTGTTTTGTTTGAAAAGATGAGGTTTCACAGAGCTCAGGTAGTCCTGGCACTCACTGTGTAGCTGAGGATTTCTTGTCGTCCTACCTCCCCTTCCTGAGTTCTGGGATTGTTGGTTTACATCACCACACCCTGCTTGATTTTATAGTTTATGACTTTATATCTACAAGTGTCCAGGACAGGAGACTCCGTGGACACAGAGAGCAGATTTAGGGGTGTCTTAAGGAGGAGAGAGAATCAGCTGAGGAGGAGATTGAGGGGCCACAGCTAAGGGGATCAAGGTTTCTTTGGGGGTTGGTGAAATGGCTCAGTGAATAAAGGAACTGGCCTCCAAGCCTCAGGACCTGAGTATGATCCCTGGCACCCACATGGCAGAAAGAGAGACCCAATACCAATACAAACACACACTTTCCCTCATAAATGAAGAAATGTAGGAAATTGTCTTGAAGGATTTCTTTTAGAAGCCAGGCGTGATGACACGTGACTGTAATCCTAACATTCAGGGGCTTCGGTGGTAGCACCATGAGTTCCAGGGTAGGCTGGGCTACACAGTGAAACCTCATCTCAAAACAAAATAAACAAAGCAAAAACTAAAGTTCAAACAAAAATTTACAAAATGAAACAAAAATAAAACATAAACATAGTTTTAACTGGGCATGGTGACACACATGTTTGTAACCCCAGGGCTTGGGAGGCAGAGGAGAGTAGGCCCCCAAGAGTTCAAGGCCAGCTTGGTCTACAATAGCGGTACCCTGACTTTATTGGTGGTTTGTTTTTGAGACAGGGTTTCTCTGTGTAGCCTTGGCTGTCCTGGAATCGATTTGTAGATCAGGCTGGCCTGGAACTCACAGGGATCTACCTGGTGCTTTTGCCTTTGCATCCCTGAGTGCCGGGATCACAGGCGTGCGTCACTGTGCCCAGCAATACCGTCTTAAAGACTAAATTGGGAGAGGAGAAGGTGCTCTAAACTCAGGGAGTGGATGCATACCTCTGTGTTTTTACTAAAAGCCTTTGAGCTGCACATCTTCCTGTTTCGCCGGGTAGTGGGCATTCAATCTAGGGCTTCACACCTGCTGGGCAGGTTCCTGCCACTGAGCTACTCCCCGAGTCTTCCTCTTTTTTGAGACAGCGTCCCTCTAAATTGCCCGTCCTGCCCTCAGACGCCATGTAGACAGTCCTGGAACTTAGCACCTTCCTACCACAGCCTCCTGAGTAACGGGCTGCAGGTGTGGGCCACCAGCCTTAGCTAACTACATACGAGAGTGAACCGCTAGCCAGTATGTAAACTGTATTCCCATGTGTCCTGGTTAGATTTTGTCAACTTGACCTAAGCTGGAGCCATCTGGGAGGAGGGAACCTCATTGAGAACATGCCTCTGTCAGACTGGCCTGGAGGGAAGCTTGTGGGACAGGCTTTTGATTATTGATAAGGGAAGGCCCAGCCCACTGTGGGTGCCTCCCCCCCTCCCGGCAGGTGTGGTCCTGTGTAGTATAGGAAATCAGGCTAAGCAAATCATGGGGAGCTAGCGAGTAAGCAGCCTTCCTCCTGGTTTCTGCTTTAATTCCTCCTGCCACATTCAGGCCTTGGCTTCCTCTGATGAAGGTCTGTAACCTGTATGTCAAATAAACCTTTTCCTCACCAAACTGTTTTTGGTCAGTGTTTTATCACAGCAGTAGAATCCTGAGTAAAACACAGTGAAAGTTGCTAAATCATTTAAAATATATGTTTCAGCCTTTTATAAGATTTTTCGTTTACTGTGTTCCACAGTGGGGGGCAGTGATCATAGGACATTTTGAAGGAGTCAGTTTTCAACTTCCATCATGGTTCTGGGAATCCAATGCAGGTGCTCAAACTTGCCAGCAAGAGCTTCTATGGGCTGAGCCATCTTGCCAACCCAAGTTAGTTAAATCTTACACATATTATACAACTACCAAGTATCTGTATTTAAAAAGACTAGAAGATTTGAACATTTTCACTATAAATAAAAGAAAGGCAGGCATAGTATCCCAGTCCTGTAATCCCAGCACTGAGGAAACCGAGGCAAAAGGAGAACTGAGATCCAGGACAGCCTGGGCTAGGTAGTGAGTGACAGGCTATCGAGAGATACAGAATGAGACAATACCTCAAAACAGAAGTGAGAAGTCACACACACATACCAAGAAAAATCCCATGAAGATGGCAGCTGCTTTAGGATAGGCCCTGAATTATAGCACCATAGAATCTGAGATGCTCAGGTGCCAACCTACAGGGTTCGGAGATACATGTTAGAAGCGTTGAACCGGGGCCAGTGAGATGACACCACAGAAGAGGGCGCTTGCTGCCAAGCTGGAAAACCTGAGTTAGGTCCCCAGAACCCACACGGTAGAGAGAGAAAACTGATACTCTTGTCCCCTGACCTCCACCTGTGGCCATGGCATGAGATACATACACACAATAAATGTGAAATATATATATATATATATATATAAACATATATATATATAACAGTATATAACAACAATCCAAATAACAGTATATGCTCAGAAAATATTTTTTTTCCAAAGTCAGGGGTCTTACTATTTGAGATCCTCCTGCCTCAGCCTTTCAGATGATGGGATTACACGTGTGTACCTGATGCCCCTAGGATCTTGGAGTCGCAGACACAGCCCTGGAGGTGGTTGAGAGGCAGAGGCACTCCTATTATCTACCTTGGGGATTTACAAACTCATGGAAAATTCCAAGCAGAACTGTCAAGGACAGACAGCCTGGCAGTGGCGGCCAGCACTTGTCAGGGATTCTCTAAAAAGTTGTGTGAGGCAGCTGAGCATGGTGGCTCATACTCTTGAAAGTGGCCTAGCACTTTCAAGGCTAAGTGAGGAGGATTGCCCTGGGTTTGAGGCCATCATGAGCTACTGGGGATTCCAGGACAGCCTGGGCTCCAGAGTGAGACCTTGTGTCAAATAAAATAGAATAGAATAAAATAAGAATAATAAGGTATGAATGAATGGGATCAATCTTTTAAAGTCAGCAGCTTCCAGAGAATTATGGCTGCTTTTTCGATGTCTGCAAGGTGTGGAAATGGCTTGTGCTCCCCAAGGAGAAGAACTGCATGGGCTGGTCATGGGCTATCTGTCCCCATTGAAATAGCTTGCCCTTCAGAAGGCTGTAACTCCTAATGCTTTTTATTCCCTGTCGAAATCTTGAAAACATCTGAATAACTCTGGGCTGGATATGACTGCTGTGTCAAAAGAGAAACAGACCTACAGAAACCAAGGCGGACATGTCCAACACAGCAGTCTAAAGTAGAAAAGTGGGTGGTGGTCCTGTAACAGGGGCCAAATGAGTTGCAGCACTTGCCGTACTAAGCCTGACTACTTAAGTGTCATCCTTGAAACCCACAAAGTGGAGGGAGAAAGCCAACTCCTCCTAGTTGTCCTCTGATCTACACACACACACACACACGAACGAGCGAATGCACACTCACAATAGAAGGAAGAAACGCTGTAACAGGACTGAGGCTGTAGATCAGTGTGTTGATTTTGTGCTCAGCAGGCACGAGGCTCTGGGCTAGATCTCCAGCACCTCAGAGACAAGATATGGGGGTGCACATCTGTAGTTCCAGCACTCAGTGGTAGGTGGTGGTCGAACTAGCTACCTTACGAATCTGAGGCCAACCTTAATTTTCAAAACTTTCCCTCGTCCAAACAAGAAAAAAACGTGTGTGAAATGACTCCGTGAGCTAAAGCAGCAAGAAGAGATGGGATCCCCAGCACCTTGGTAAGAGCCAGGCAGGTGTGGGGGCTGTGAACAGCCACAGCACTCAGGAGGGAGAGACTGAGCATCCTCGGGCAAGCTGGCCGGTCAAACTGGCCAGGTCAGCAACAGACCCCACCTCCATGAATAAAGTGGAGAAAGACAGAGAGAGAGAGACCCTTGACATTAACCTTGGACATCCTCAGACACATACACACATGTGCCTGTGACCTGGACAGTCAAACACTCATAGACATAAGCAACAAACACACACACACACACACACACACACACACACACACACACACACACA